GTGGGTGATTTGTGAGAAGCATTGGAGAAGTTGTTGTATGCGGCCATGACTCTGTAAACTGCATGCAGGGTCTTGGGGGAGACATGCTCCCATGTAGCTGCGACACTCTTTGCCATTTGACAGTGGTAAGTATAATTAAACTTGACTAGAATTTCTGCTGATTAGCAGTAAAAACAACTTTAAAATGCAAGGGGCGTGGCTATATTTCTTAGATATATTTTGGTTTATTTTATCTGAGAAACTAATCACTATGTGACAGGCCACAGGTATATATAGAGAGGTTTGCCAGGATTTTTGCTGCCGGGCGCTCCAGTTGCGGACGGAAGTCGGAAGATCCAATCTAGGGGGGTCCGGGGTATGCCCACACCGAAATTTTTTTAATTTTGGATTAGTCTGAAAACTTCAATTTCCTGATCTGAGCAATAAAAGCCATTATATCAGAGTTTTTTATTTTTATTTTTTTTTATATCAAAATTAGTGCGGGTGAGAGTTATATTAAGTAAGCTAACGTCTACACACGGAAACCTTAACTCCGAGATTAAGCGTCTACACGGGGCCTTTAATCGAGTTTAAAGTAACTCGAGTTAGCGTTAACTTCGAGTTAGCATTTAACTCGCAGTCGATTGAGGTTAAGCATAAATCGAGTTACTTAACTCGAGGTTAGGGAAGTGTTAGGACGCTTAACTCGGTTTTAAGGTTCGTCGTGTATGACGTAGACTTATAGTATTTCACCCGGCAACTATTTTTGATTATAAAACAAAGAAAAGAAAAAAGGTCCTATTTGATCAATTTTCTTCTTTTTATCTTCAATATAAACGTATGATATCTTGGGTATCATGGGTTACAAATTTTTTGGGGTCATATTTCATTATATCGGTATAAGACTAACGATATACTTGTGTTACAAGTCATTTTATTACATGAAAAAGTTGAAAAACCACCCATTTAGTCTAAAATAACCAAATTTATCTGTATTTTGACATTCACTTCTGCTTCAAATACCTGCACCACACTACAAATATGCATAAGAAAAATGTTATGCGTGAGAAATAAGTTTAGGCAGCAATGACCATAATTAATCATAGGCTTATAGACAAATAACAACTACCAAGAACCATTAAAGGTATAATAAAACAAATTACAAAAATGGATAATTGGAAATAATTATATTATTGTGCATTCTGCGGGCCGGCCGGTAGGACAGACGCCTCGATCGCCTCCTTCCTTCTTTCTCTTCCCTCTCCTCTCACTTCTCCCTCCCCTCCCTCCTCTCCCCTCTCATCACTTACCACCTCGACCTCCCTCCTCCCTCCCTCTCATTTCACTAACCACCTCGATCCTCCCTCTTCTCTTCTCCTCTCCAATACCTCTCTTCTCCCCTATCTCACTTCCTCTCCCCTCCACCACATTCTCTCCCTCTACCTCCTCCCTCCTCTACTCCTCCCTCACCTCCTCCCACCACCTTCTACCATCCTCCTCGACTCCTTCCTGTACCCTTTTTTCTACCTCTTCTTCCTGTCCCCTTTTCTACCTCCTCCCCTTCTCCCCTCCATGCCTCTCCACTACTTTTCCTCGTCCGTTACCTCTTCTAACCTCACCCCTTTGTCCCTCTGCTTCCCCACTACCTTCTCCCTCGTCCTTACTTCTTCCTTCCTCCTGTACACCTTCTCACCCTCGCTCAAATACTGTCCCTCTGAAACTGTGAAACTCTCATGACTCTGAATCGCATTATATTGATCGTAAATCGAATCATTCGATCCGTTATCGAATCATTCCATCCGTTTGAATCGAATCATTCGATCCGTGAATCGCAATCATTCGCAATCACGTGATTCGAGCATTCGCATCCGTGAATCGAATTCATTCATCCGTGATCGGATCATTTCGATCCGTGATCGAAGCATTCGATCGTGAATGTTATATGTGATAAAAATCAACCATAAAATCAAAAAATATAATGAAGCAAAATACATGTCAAAGCAATGTGCGGTACCCTATGATAGTTTGCGCGACGTCGCTGTTTCACGCTCGTTTTACCGTTTTACATGCTAAACCGCATAGAGATTTCTAGTTATAACAGTGTTATAATAGAAATCTCTATGCTAAACCGACCACGTTATGTGGCTCCGTATTGGTCAGGTATAGCCCGCTGCGATAGGTGAGCTCCTCATGCCAGTTTGCACGATCGCTGCGTGGTCGTCGCCAAAGAAGTGCGTACAGTGCAATGATTTTTCAAGGTGTGTGCTCGGGCCTTATGTATGACTCTTCAAAAGACACGTGGTGAGAAGTTAAGCGATCAGTTCTTAGTATTAGGCACGTTCATCCCGTTTACTGATGTTTCGCTGATTTTCATTCGTCGTTCATGCACACGCGTTCAGATTGTGTGTCTGTCTCGGTGTTAGGGTAACCTGTCCGACACAGGCTCTTATATCACGTGCCGGCAATAGTAGGTGGAGAAAAGAAGAAGCGAGAGAGAAAGAGAGGAAATGGGGAGAGAGAAAGAAGGAGAGGGAAGAGATGCGAAGGAGAAGAGGAGAGAGAGAGTGAGAGAGAGAGAGATCGAGCGAGGTTGTAAGAGAGGAAAGGAAAGAGAGAGCGCGCGGAAGCGAGAAAGAGAGAGAGGAGGTGCTGAGAAAGAGCGAGAGAGAGAGCGCGGCAGGTGGAGAGAGCGAAGGAAGAGAGAGAGAAGACGAGCGCGAGCCGAGAAAGAGAGAGAGACAGAGTGTGAAGAAATGAGAGAGAGAGAGGAGCGAGGATGGAGAGAAAGAGAAAGAAGAGAGAGAGAGAAGGCGCGATCAGCATTGCGGCGGAGTGACTTTATTCTGCTCACAGATTTATCGCAGCAGCAGCAGACAGCACAGCTTGTCTGAGGAGAGCTGAAGAGTTAGTCTGATTGCTGTGCTGTCATTCTCCGACGTTCTTCACTTCTCGTGAGGCGACGTAGTGAATGATCGGCGCTTTTCCAGCTAATCGTGTTTGCAGATCAAACATGGGACGTAACGGCTGCTACTGTATTGATCAAACATGGACGTAACGCGGCTCGTGGTTTGATACAAACATGACGTAACGGCGGCTCTGTTTGATAAACATGGACGTTAGCGCGGCTCTGTTTGATCAACATAGAGATTAACGAGCGAGTTTTCTGTTTGACCTGTTCTTGTCGCGTCGTCTGCGGTGATGAGGACCAACGTTAAAGCAAAACATGAACGGTTTCATACAGGCATATTCACATCTGAAAGGAGGCAACAAGAAAGGTTAGGGAAAAGAAATAAAGGCTCCTACGACTAGAAAGGCGACGAGCTCACGAAATCAAGGTTGGGGGGACCCGCGGTATATTACCACGATCCAAACACTGAAGCCAGACACAAACTCCGGAGCTAGCATCTCCTTGGAAACCAAGCATTTCAACCGTTAGTAAATTATAAACGCAAGAAATTGTTGCTGCAACATAAGACACAAGAGACATTTCCATGAGAAATGATAAGAGAAATATCCATTTTACATCGGCTACTATTGTCAGAGAAATCAGCGTTTTTCTATTTTTCGCAATGATTGACCGCCTGTGTGCAAAATGGGTGAACGTATGTGAAATATCTACTGTTAGCACTTACTGCGACATATCCATGACTAACTAGCACCACTAAATTGGTAATATGTTCCATGCACCTTGAGAAATTGTGAGAAATTACGAGGTTAACACCGCACTTTCATGCAAAACGCGCGTACGATGTGTACTGCATGCCGTTACTAAGCTATGTGTCAACAAACACGCGCCTAAATGCAAGGTGTGTAACAAGAGAAACGGGGCTATTTTCGGTCGCGCGGCAATTTCAACTATCACTGGCAGATGACAGCTGTAGGAGGGTTGGTGCTGAATGATACTGGTTTAGTGAATATCATGAAAACTCTGGTTGTATCATGTCTCTGACGTCATCAGTGACGTCAGCTGCTGCTCACTACACGTGTACGCGGGCAATCAAAACGCTCTAAAAGTTTACATGTACCGTTATATGGAGAAATGAGCATATACAGAGGCAGAGATGCCAACCACTACGATTTATCCGTATTTTATACGAATTTCTATTCCTTTGCACCACTACGACCAGTTTGTATCAATCTACGAATTTCACTGTAAACGGAAAAAAAAAATTTTTTTGGTCCGTCAATCTATAATACGCAGGGGAAAAAATACACGGGGGCGGCAGGCGATTTCGCCCCCGAAATGCCAAAAAGAGCCCCCGAAAACATAATATCGGGGGCGAGCACAAAAGAAAAAGTCGCCCTGGAAATCGATTGTCCAGGTCGGTCCCGCGCCTTGCCGCTCTCGCTCGGCGTTGCTGCGCTGCGATGCCTAGGCCTCTGCCGTTAGCCGCAGCCGGTTCCACGGCGCGGTAGAATTCATGGTACGGTGTGACTGTCAAGTGTTTACCATTTAAGCATGCATGTGTGTACTGTACTGTATTGCATTCAATCAAGCGCGCGCCGCCGCCCGCGCGTATATATGTGTGTGCCTGTGCGCGTGCTTGCGTGTGTGCCTGCGCGCGTGCGTGTGTGCGTGCCGGTGTGCCTGCGGGCGTGCTTGCGTGTGTGCGTGCGTGCGTGCGTGCCTGTGTGTGCCGGTGTGCCTGCGGGCGTGCTTGCGTGTGTGCTTGCGCGCGTGCATGTGTGCGCGTGTGTGCGTGCCTGCGCGTGTGCCTGCACGCGTGCGTGCCTGCATGCGTGCGTGCGTGTGTGCGGGTGTGCCTGCGGGCGTGCCTACGTAGACGCGTAGGACCAACGACCCGTAGGATTATAGAACGGTAATCCCCCCCCGAACCCCCCCTCGAACTACTAATTTGATGGCCAGAAACTACAGATTGTTTCAAATATATGTTGGCATCCCTGCAGAAGTGGCACATAGTGTTAGCCATTGAATAAAGTCGAAAAAAAATGTCGGTAAAATTTTGCCTAAAACCTTGAGAGTATCCTTAAATAAACAGGACTCGCTTTGCGTCGAACAGCCAAGTGCCTTGGTAGGAGTGCACACCTACCAGGTTGCTGAAGCCCTGCAACGAGTTCAAAGCAGTAATTAGATCAACTACTAATAATATTTCTGTCATAAACCACTCCTACACACATACAACAACAAACTGCTGCAGCATAGGAGAACTACTGCAGGAGCAGTATTGTATCGAACACTGAGAGCTCATAGCACTTCGTTATTTTAGTCTTCGTTTATTTTTTATTATTCTGTTTTGTTCTTTCCAGCCGTACTACAGTACTACAGCAGGAGTACTATATAGAACACGCAGAGATATTATATCATGGATTTAAGGATACTCTCCACGTTGTGCATGAAATTTCATCGATTTTTCGTTTTCAACTTTATTCAATGGCTAACACTATGTGCCCCCTGTGTACATGCTCATTTCTCCATATAACGGTACATGTGAACTGTCAGAGCGTTTTTGCTTGCCCGTGTACATGTGTAGTAAGCAGCGGCTGACGTCATTATGACGTCAGAGACATGATACAACCACGATATTAACTAAGCCAGTATCATTCAGCGTCAACCCTGCTACAGCTGTCATTACATGTATTCATGTACATTCATGTACATCTGCTAGTGATCCAACAAGTATCCCACGCCCTAAATAGTTCTAATACCTCGCAACACACCTTACTGTAGTGCGGTACACCGCGCGCGTTCGTTCACATATTAGCTTTGTGACGTCAGGATGAGCGGAGTTCGCGCGTTCTGCGATGGTAACCTCGTAATTTCTCAGAATTTCTCAAGGTGCATGGAACATTTTACCAATTTAGTGGTGTCAGTTAGTCATGGATATGTCGCAGTAAGTACTAACAATAGATATATCACATACGTTCACCCATTTTGCACACAGGCGGTCACTCATTTTGAAAAATAGAAAAACCCTGATTTCTCCGTTTCGATTTCTGACATAGTAGCCGATGTATAAATAGATATTTCTCTGTGATTACAACTCGGATTAATTTAATTTTACACTCGTTTTAATGGTAACATATTGTGGTAAAGAATTCCGTCAGGGATTGTTATTAAGTGCCGTACATTATTAGTTATGCCTCTTTATTCGCTAAAAAAAATAATTTTAACACACAACTTGATTTTTAAGCAGTTTTTTCCAGTTTTCTCAGTGAATATGAAAATTTAAAAAAAATCCTGACGCACTATTTTGGTCCATATTGTGCTTAACATGTGGCAAAAATTTTGTATTCTTACTCCTTCTGTTTGTTGCGAAA